GTGTGATTATGTTTATACATCCCATGTTGTTACATAAAACACTGCGCAGAATACATGTAAGCAGTTAAAGATCACATTCTATGGACTTGCTTGTATATTACAGTGGGTCCCACTTAAATTAATAGAATATCCCGTTTATAATCATACAAACTGAATCCAAAACCATATCTATGCTTTCCATACATTTACTTCCGTTTTATAGAATGCGGATAATGTCATATCCTGCCTATTACCGTAGAAAAATTGAGCAATTTAGCTTTTTGCCCTCGTATTGTCATTATGCGCATGCGTAATTAGGCATTGGGCTGGATTTTTGTAACCCTCTCCATTCCTTACACCTGGCTTCTTTACAGTTAGCTTATGTAAACAGCTTGGCTAAACAAACTGCACTGTGCGCAGGCATACGCTGTATACACAGTATACACACCCACAGTATACATTGGCTTACACAGTATACACAGTATACACAGTATACACACCCGCATTGTCATATTTTTGGATGCACCTTGGGTATGATATTAACCGGGACCCACTGTATAATACTCTCACAAAAATGGATCTTTCAACTGAATCGAGGAAATTAGGTATTATAATTAGTCTCTCCTGTCATTAATAGTCATTTCCTGGAGCATTTCTTCCAGACCTACTCTTGGAACATCTTCACTGACATCACTGTCCCCAACTGCCACTGTCTGGTGTCCTGGATCTGTAGTGGGACAGTAATACTACTCTTAGTCCTCTGAATAACTTTTGCAATCATCTGATACTCAGGGAAGAGTTATGGTGGGATTCTCACAGTCTACACCATGAGTAACCTGAGCCCTCCTATATAGTCCTAGCAACTGGCACATTTATGGCTACCATCATATATACCCTTATCTGATTGAGCCATGAATGTCATGGGCTTACACAAGCCTGTGGAGTATAAAACTCACTGAAACTGTAACACATTTACTGAGAGTTGTAAGGAAAGCAAGCACATGCCGCATGTTTCGGTACCTTGAAATCACATTCATTAGAGTATAGCAAAATCATGAATTCACAACAAGTCACCGCTGCACCTTAAGCTTATCACAAACTGTGATAGAGAGTAACACACTCACTAAAGAAGATGTTGGACGTTCTTGCGGTAGATCATGTCTTCCTCCAGGTCCTCCAGGAACTCCTCGTAGTCATCCTCCGCCCCTTCTCATTGGTCGTCGCCACGGTAACATCACTCCGGTCAATCATCTGCAGCTGCCAGTTTCCTCTGTTTTGACCTATTGACCTTGTCTCCGTAGCTCTTCTTCACCAGGACCTGGGGGGTGGGGGTAATGGTGGAAATCCAAGGGATAATAATATTATGTATTAAATCTGGGCTCTTTCACAGCTAGCAACACATTTTGGCGAAAGAGCTACAAAGGACAATAGAAAGGTGCTTGCCATTGGACTGGGCTGGATGTGCAGTGGACAGTTGCGAGTGAGTGTGGTAACTTAAGCTGCATGCCTGATTACCAAGCAGCTTGGTTAATTGTTTACTAATTGGCAGCCAGGCAGGGTACACTTAGCCACAACTTTGCCAAGGCAGGAAGTAGTATATATTCATTACATAGCTGCCACCTCCTTGTTGAGCAGAGTGAGGAGGCAGGAAGCCGTTCATGAGGAGGTGGTAGGGTAGTGAGCCTTTTGACAACAGAAACCCACCACATCAGGATGTCTGCAGGGTTCATCTTGTCCAGATTAGCATCATTCAGATTTGCCTGGGACAAGTCAAACCTACATACAACCAAAAGAGAGCGAATCTAATAACACACCCTTCTCGTTCTGTTGTGTGTGAGAGAGGATATTTGGCAGCACTGACGGTACACACTGAATAGCTTCCTGTAAAATGTTTTGGTGTGTCGGCTCTCTTGACGTTTACTGCCATTGATGACGACCCACTTCACGCTTGGCTTGATATCTACTGAGGCGTTACACCCAGTGCAAACACGGGGGGAGCGCCGCGCGCCCATATCTTCTGAGGTATTATACATATCCAGTGCAAACACTAGCGCTCTCCCTTTCATTCCAGTAAAAATATTTCTAGTGCGGTAAAAAAAAAACGCTATCCCTCTCTCCCTCACCCCCACACGCAGTCCTCGTCATGGAGGAGATGTCCGAGATGAGACCGACAGTGTATCTGTCTGTCGCTAGTCCCCAGCTCACTCACTGGCACCACCCATACATCACTCAGGACACACTGTGGAGGGGGGAGCAATCAGAGGGTATAAATCATAGACATTGGACTATGAGAAGGGGGCAGGGTTAGGGATTTATCTTACTACTGGCATGAGATAATCTAAAGCTTATAGGGCGAGATAGGAATAGAGTTACGCAGCTGCAATAGCTATACCTTGTCACTGTGGTTGGCGGAGCTGTTGCCATGGGAACCAGGGGGTGTGGCCTTCTCGATGTGAAGGACATAGAACTCGGTCAGTTGGCGATGGTTACAGAGACTAGAGAACGGAGTTCTCCAAATGGACATTTTTGAAGCAATATGCGTTGCAGAAAATGTGTTTTCACTTTTAACAGTCACACAATCATTCAGAGGATCACTTGTACGTTAACCCTTATCTCTCCACATAGTCTCAGGGTACGGAGGAGCAGAAGAAGAAATGGCTGGGGCCAGCCAGAGAATACAGAATCATGGGAGCCTATGCCCAGACTGAGCTAGGCCACGGTACAAGACATGCATTAAAGGGATTTATTAATTGACTTGCTGTGTGTGTGTGTGCAGGTACGTATCTCTGTGGGTTGGAAACCACGGCAACCTACCACCCTGAGACGGAGGAATTTGTGATTCATGTTTAGTTCTCTTATATCATTCCTTGAAATTTGTATATAGACAGATAGAATGTTGCATTGCACATGTGGCTAATGACATCACATGTGTGCCTTCCCCAAATTCTCCGACTCAGACCTCCATCAAATGGTGGCCTGGTGGACGTGAGTCCCTCCTTCTTTTCCTTTTCGAACTTTCATCTCTTTTCTTTTGTCTTTTCCCTCTTCTTCCTCTGTTCACTGTAAGTAGGTAGGTATAATACCCACCCACTTTAGTATAATGTTACCCCAGCAACCGCACATTATAGGGTATGATTTATTGGCCAGTAGTAGCACCCACTTGGCTGTCTAGCCGAGGCTCTCTAGTCAACACCCACTTTGCTTTCCTTATACTGCTGGAGATACGTAGATGTTTGTCAAGTGAATTCATATGGTCATACCGGCCACAAGTACATTGGGTATCAGCCTAGAAATCAAAGGCACTGCACGCAGTGTATGCGCACGAAGACAACTCATTAGTTGCATGCCATGGTGTATGGTGTGCTGACTCAGCCATACACTCACACATGTGGGGTGTATGCACACCATGACCATACACCATGGCATGCATACTAATATGTTGTCTTAGTGCGCATTCCTGTGGTACAAACCGGTTACACTACACCCACTGCACGGTTTAGTGCATACACTACTCGTGCGCACTTGTAGTGTATGTCCACTAAACCGTCTCGTGGGTATAGTGTTTACACAAGGTGCTATGAATATCATTTCCTTCACGTGTCATTTCCTCAAAACAAAGGAAACTGGAAATGGAACCCTACTCAAAAGCAGCTGAAGTAGCATGAACTGGTGCATTTATGTGCATGCTACTTCAGCTTGTGTAGTAACTACAACCCACACCCCACCATACGCAGAATAATAATGTTGCGAAATCTTGGACTTGTGGGAAGACTTGCGCGAATTTCGACTGCTGGTTTCTCTTGGATGCGGCTGAGAGGAGCCAGTTGAAACTGGTTGAATACTGGTCAGTCAGGTCTCTCCCGCCGCCCGCCATCACCAAACCCTTTGTCCGTTGCTCCCGACGCCCCTTGCTCTGTGTGTGCGTGTCAAAAACCATGCCAACACGTTCAATACACTCTCTAAGGACACCTCTGAAATTTCTCCTTCCCCTACAACAGTTCTTGCATGCTAAGACCTCACTAATAACATTATATGGACACTTCCCATTGGTGTCAGGATTAGAATGTCACATGACAGTCGCCCACAAATACCTTCTTCAGAGATCCGTCTTTTGATCTGTGTCTCTTCAAGTCACCCGAGTCCTCGCCTTGCACACAAGAATGTCCACTAAAGGATTGCCATAATCATTATACAGAGTAACCCTCCACTCATTAGCAATTGTGTCGCACACCTAAATTTCAGGATACTCTAGTAAACTCCAGTAATCTGTCAGTAAACTTTAGTAATCTCTCAGGTGCGGACAGGCTTGGTTCTGTTCACGGCTCATGCTCTAGCAAGGGCCCTAGTCATCGCAGTGAGATACAGTGTAGTCAGAAGACAAGGAGAAATCGAACCTGGGTAAGCCTTTAACCCTTTCCCCACCATCCCATTGTTACATTAACCCTTTCAGAGCCGGGGAGGTACAGGTAATGGACTATCAGACGCAGCAGTTTAAGCTCCTCCCACTCCTGGTGTCGGCATATGCTCTGTCCTCCACTGGGGTTGCCATGATGATGATGTTTGTCCAGGTCAGTAATCTCTCTGTAAACTATCAGTAATCTCTTGTGATAATTATGATGTTTGTCCAGGTCAGTAATCTCTCTGTAAACTGTCAGTAATCTCTCGTGATGTTTGTCCAGGTCAGAGGTCAGATCGAGGAAGGAAACCTAGATTCGTTGCCTGATGTAAGGAATATCACAATTGAAAAATGGGTGCTTGTTTTTTTGCCCATTCCTGTTTCTATTCCCCATGTAATCAAGGTGTGATAGTTACTTTTCAATTATTGGTGGGTGTTGTGCAGTGTCTTTCACCTTAAACCAACTGATACTAGTGGTTTGTGATGTCCGCCCCTCTCATCCACAGCTCCATGCTACCAGTGCAGGCCTCAAGGCCATTTCTGCCGAAATCTCCAACAACGGAATTGAGGTATACATCAGTAATTCTCAGTAAATATCTAGTATTCGCCATTACATGTTAGTAATCTACAAGTGTGTGTTAATACTACTGGTGGTGCAAACTTGTAAACTCTGGTAATCTACAGATTGTTAGTAATCCGCAGGTACATTGTTAGTAAATTCTAGTAATCTACAGGTGTGTCGGATGGCATGTGGTGGTCATGGTTACTCGCAGGCCAGCGGTTTACCTCATCTCTATGTCAACTATGTTCCAGCCAATACCTATGAGGGAGAGAACACTGTTCTATTCCTTCAGACTGCAAGGTTAGCAAACTGTTATAATATAGTACACAGTGGCAATAGTTATGTTCATAAAGGAAAGGTTGCGAAGCATTATAGGAATGCTCATAGATTATTATATCCATAGCCTGACAGATTTCATTGAGTGAAAAGTGCATAAACTGAGTGCTCAGGCCCATTATACTGAACATCTTCTCGTCTGCTGGCTTTATCTGGCAACTGTGCCTCAGTTTCATATCTCAAAATGACATCGCACGATGGCAGACTCTTCTTCAAAGAGTGGAGTGTCGGCGGACTCCCCGAACCGACCTCAACGAACGTCATGAATCCTTCTTTCAAAATCTCGACTATGAACTCTTCCCAGCAGGCCAGACCGTTGATGACTGCTCCCTGGACCAACACCATGCCACTGCCATCCAAATAAAACTTGTCTCCTTTGACAAACTGCCTTGACTGTGCCGGGTCCAAATACTAGTGCCTTAATCTGACTGGTAAATTTCTTGTAGGCTTTGCAGAAAAGGTCTCTGGCAAAGTTCTTTTTCTGATGTATCTGCTCTTCCAAATACTTCAACTTGTCCATCCTTTCTCACTGTATCAACTGCTCTGTCCTTCTGCACGATTTCTAGTCTACCAAATCTGCTGCTAAGCCCACTGTCACTAGCATAAGCCGCTGGAGGCAGCAAAGACATTGGACGTGCAGGCTCTAGTCGCATTGGAGGTATGAATTGGTAGCTCCATGTTATTGCAAGTTCATCCTGTATGAGGTCATCAATCACCTGACTACTTCCTAGAAGGGAATTGTCACATACTCTTGTTACAGACAACCAACTCCACTAGTAATGGCCCAACTGGGTACCTATGAATCCACTTCCTGTAGATGAATATTTAACATTCCTTAGGCCTACTCTATTGTAGCCCTGCCTGAATTTAGTATGTAGGTGTAGTGTAACCGGTTTGTACCACATTGATGACTGCTCACGGTATCTACTGCTCTGTCCTTCTGCACGATTTCTAGTCTACCAAATCTTCTGCTAAGCCCACTGTCACTAGCATAAGCCACTGGAGGCAGCAAAGACATTGGACGTGCAGGCTCTAGTCGCATTGGAGGTACAATGTAAGAATTGGTAGCTCCAGGATAGGTTCTTCTCCATTGAGTGACCAAATCTTCTTCATCCTGGTCTGACTCAGAGCTACTAGAATACTCTGAAGAATACTCCTCTAGTGGTAAATTTGATGCCATCATCATCCTTGAAGGCTTTGCAACTGAGCAACCTGGTCTTCTTTTATTAATTATTGCAAGTCATCCTGTACGATGTCATCAATCACCTGACTACTTCCTATAATAGTAATGCATGTTAAAAGTCTGCACGTCATACTCTTGTTACAGACAACCAAAGGGGTGGGCACATGAAAAATTTTAGGTAGGTAGATAGCTAAAATTTTTCATGTGCCCACCCCTTTGGTTGTCTGTAACAAGAGTATGACGTGCAGACTTTTAACATGCATTACTATTATAGGAAGTAGTCAGGTGATTGATGACATCGTACAGGATGACTTGCAATATACTAAACCATCTCGTGAGTATAGTGTAACCTATAAATGCCACCCAGGTAAGTAATGTAGGGGCCTAAGGAATTCGTAGGCCTAGGCCTCTTGTTACCTAGGCCTATGAATTCCTTAGGCCCCTACATTACTTGCCTGGGTGGCATTTATAGGTTACACTATACTCACGAGATGGTTTAGTGGACATAGTGGACATATACTACAAGTGCGCAGCTCGAATAGTGTATGTACTAAACCGGCGAGTCGGTGTGCGGTTTGTACCACAGGAATACAATGATAACAATATTCATAAGCTTATTAGTTGCATGCCATGGTGTATGGTGTGCTGACTCAGCCATACACTCAGCCTTCATGTGCATACACTGTGTGCAGTGCCTTTGATTTATAGGGCTTCTGTGGTACAAAGAACTGAAGTGCAAACCCTCGGCGAACTGCGCAAGGATACCGCTAATTCATGGGCTGGGCCGTAGTATGCGTTTACTTCTGGTCTTCCGCTAGTAGCTCGCGGAGAGTCTGACACAGGCTAGCTTGCTTTTCACGCCATAACTTTCAAACGCAGTATTTTTTAGGAAAATCGCCAGTTTTTAAATCAAGCCGAACCTATTGGCATAGCTTATTGGCTGTCTCGTTGCAGAAAACGTGGTAAGAGACAAACACAGACACACAAACCAACTACTATAACCCTCGCTGCGCATGCGTGCCAAGGGTTAATGAGCTGTGGCCTTATTACGATTTCTCTATTCTCATCAGATACCTGAACAAGCTGTACTCCAGTGGTCAGCCAATGTCAGCCCTCCCTACCAACGTCTGTTACCTAGCAACAGACTACCCAGGCCACGCCTCCTGCGGAGTGCGGTCGGTGGACCAACTATCAGACCCTCATCTTCAGTTGGAGGCGTTCCGTCAGCGAGCCCGGAGGATGGTGGGCGTGGCTAGCTCCGCCTACCAACGGGCTCTGGGGCGTGGCCTCACACAGCCTCAGGCGTGGAACTCCACCACAGTGGATTGGACTGTGGCCGCCAAGGTTTTTACCTTTTCAGTAACTTATTTTGTGTGACACATTTGACGGAAAAACTAAAAACAAATTTGTATTGTATGCAAACATTTTTATCATTTTCACATACCTGACCTATAATTATATTCTCTATTGTTTTAGGCTCACTGTTACTACGTTGTCCTGAAGTCGTTCAATGATGCAATCGAGGCAAAGGGGCTGTCCCCAGCCAACGATGTCATAATGAGAAAGCTGTGTTCGCTGTATGCCATGTACTGGATGGTGCAGAGCAGTGGAGAGTTTATGACTGTGAGTTTTACTTTTACTTTTACTTTTACTGGAGATGTTTTCTTCTTTTTGCTGCACCGAATCCAGACTACTAACACAATGTGAAGTGGCCTACCATGTTCATAGTTTAGAGTGTGGGCCTCCTTGTTTGTTTATGTGAGATCACTTCTACTGCATTCGCAAACTTGTTTCCTTACTAGTGGCATTTCAAATATCTCTCCCAGATCACGGCTGGGGTCAGACCCATGGCTTATGAATAATCTTAATTATGCTCAATTGTTTCCTTACTATGGTATGTACCTTGGTGGCATTTCAAATATTTCCCCCAGATCACGGCTCATGGGGTCAGAGACACCATGGCTTAAGAATAATCTTAATTATGCTCAATTGTACACCTTGTGAGAGGACATGAATATAGTCTCATTAGCTGTGCAGTGTACTGCATCCTAACGAAACAGTGTACTGAATCTAACTAAACAACATGTCACACTTACTGAGCATCTCACTTGTAACAATGCCGAGGGTTAAAAATCAGCTATATGCTGAGATTGTTCCGTCTGGTGGTGTTTTTAACATTACAGGATGGCTATATGACTCCCTACCATATTTCGCTGGCCCGCTCTCTCCTCTACTCCCTGTTAGCGGAGGTCAGGAAAGAGGCAGTTCCGCTAGTTGACGCCTTCGACGTCCCAGACGAGATACTGAACTCCGCCCTCGGTCGCTATGACGGCGATGTGTACACTCACCTCTACCAGTGGGCCCAGAGAGCTCCTCGCAACAAGAAGAAGGTCAGGACTGGTGTGGCTTTGACTGAGTAATAATTACAGTTTCTTTCTTTACTCAGGTCCATGATGTGTACCACAAGTACTTCAAGAAACTGCTAAAGCCTAAATTATGAAAATCCTTTGTATTGGCCACGCCTCAAACATAACAAAAGCATGAATAATACTACCTACGCAGCAAGCTAATTCGGAAGTGTCATGAATAACAACACGGTGCGGGGACGTGCGGTTGTGAGTACACAAGAGAGGAGTCGATGGCTCGCACCGTTTATACAGCCCCAGTTACAGCCCTAAGTATATACCAATTATGTGATTTAAGCCATTTCTTGGGTACATGCTCTTTGTGACGATACTAATCAGACTGATGTGTCAAAAGTTGGACCTGATTGAAATAGAAAGTGAAACATGAAAATCTCAAATGTATGGGCATCAGTCTGATTAGTATCGTCACAAAGAGCATGTACCCAAGAAATGGCTTAAATCACATAATGCAGGACAACCTGTGTCATCCCTATAATTGGCGAGCGGAAGCGAGCTAACCTAGTGGTCCGAACGGCGCGATTTTTCTATATATATAAATTATATATATATATATATATGTACCCGTACGTCGTCCAACTGCGCATGCTCCAGCATTACGCGCTTCTTTTTATCCGAAAGGGATTTCAACATTTTCATAATGCTGCCTGAATCGAGCGGAATCAGGGGAAACGCAACGCCTCCGAAGCTATCGAGTATTGCTGCACAGTCCAGCGAGAGATTTTTCTACATTGCCACTTGTTCCCTATTCCTGCAAGACCAATCAGATTGCCGGATTATGCCTGATTCGCGCTGTCGACTGACTGTTTTTGACTCGACTCGAATTGTCTACTGCGCTCGGGTCGTTTCGGCCTACTTGGTCCTGTGCAATGTATCTCACTGTTTTGTGCACACACAAGAGTGACTCATACGATTAGACCCCAATTGTAAGCGCGCTTCCGCTCGCCAAAAATGCCATGCATTCGCCTACTAGTACTAATGATTATGGTTGTATATACTTGGCGTCACGGCTCGCTCCGAGCTATATATAGAGAATGCCAAGCAAGTTATGACATAATGTCGGCATCATGCAAGGGTGCGTGCGTGCACGCACCCTTGTCCCCGCGTAAATACCGCGGCCAGATCATGTCAGATAGTAAATATAAACAGACCTCCACCTTTGAGAGCAAAATGAGCGAGGCACTGCGACTGCTACACCGTGCCGTAAGACGTCTAAACAATTCATCGGTGCTGCAGCGAGCGCTGCGCACGCTGGAGCTGTGGCTGGCGCAGATGTCCAGACGACGGGGGCAAGAACTGCACACGGAGACTGCGGCCGGAGGCGCTCCGTCCGTCATGGTCAGTATTAGCCACACACTCGGTGCTCGCCATGCTCGGAGAGCTAGCAGTCTGCATGCACGCGTATAGCTATACAATAATTCACTGCTGCTGCAGGTAGTCGTAAGGCAGAGCGAGCCGCTGACGCTCGAATCTTGCAGTGACCGCAGTGTCTGCAACGCGGGAGGTGCGGATAGGCTCGGAGACGGCGAGAACTGCGAAGGACAGGACTTTTTGCAGAACCCCGAGCTGGTGAGCTCCAAATTTTGCTTCTGCACAGGAAATAAAAAAGATGTTTTGTAAACTTGCATACAATCACTGCAGATGAGCTGCAGTAGCGAGGAATGTGAAGAAGACAGTGGATGGCTGATGGTTCCAGCTAGAGAAGAAACTAGAGCTCTGTCAAGCCAACTGGTTACTGGATTTCACTTCACCTCTTCTCTGCCGGACTGAACTAAATATTTACACAGACTTTGTGTTGTTTGCCTTTGCTTTGACCTTGTTGTTGACTTGTTTGCCTTGCCTTCCCTTTCTACCTTGTTACTAAGTAGTTGAGACATGCATGTAATTGATTTTGTTTGCCCTTCGCCTTGCTACCTCACTTTGTTGACAAATGCACAAAATATTGTATCACATTATAAATTTTCATTTAGCTATGATGTGCGTGTGTGATTATGTTTTATACATCCAACGTTGTTACATAAAACACTGCGCAGAATACATCTATACAGACTTGCTTGTATATACTCTCAAAAAAATGGATTTTTCAACTGAATCGAGGAAATTAGGTATTATAATTAGTCTCTCCTGTCATTAATGGTCATTTCCTGCAGCATTTCCTGCAGCATTTCCTCCAGACCTACTCTTGGAACATCTTCACTGACATCACTGTCCCCCACTGCCACTGTCTGGAGTCCTGGATCTACAGCATAACAGAATAATGGTTGCAGCATGCTGAGATTCAATGCTGACCAAACTGTCTTGGTGGGTATACACACTCATACAACACATACATTCCATGAATATAGTTGTCTGACCCACTGAAATAATATATATCTTGACACCATGTTGTTTTGACCCATGAATATGGGTCAGACAACTATATTCATAGAATGTTGAAATGGGTCAGAAATGGGTCAGACAACTATATTCATGGAATGTATGTGTGAAATGGGTCAGACAACTATATTCATGGAATGTATGTGTTGTATAAATGTTTGGATGTGCAGCATATGCTGAATAGGCAGAATATCATGTATATATTAATCTTGAATTCTTATATCTATATCTTGAATTCTTAACCAATCTTGCAACTTCCACATAGACTCCATAAGCGTTTATATAATACTATGCGTTAATATATACATGATATTCTGCCTATTCAGCATATGCTGCACATCCAAAGGGTTAAATAAAATTTGTGGCAGAGACAAAAACACTCACTGAAGAAGATGTTGACGTTCTTGCGGTAGATCATGTCTTCCTCCAGGTCCTCCAGGAACTCCTCGTAGTCCTCCTCTGCCCCCTTCTCATTGGTCGTCGCCACGGTAACATCCATCTCCCGGTCCATCATCTGCAGCTGCCAGTTCCTCTGTTTCGACCTCTTGACCTTGTCTCCGTAGCTCTTCTTCACCAGGACCTGGGGTGTGGGGATAATGGTGGAAATGCAAGGGATATGATAATAATTATGTATTAAATCTGGGCTCTTTCACAGCTAGCAACACATTATTGGCGAAAGAGCTACAAAGACAATAGAAAGGTATCAGCTGTATTTAGGGCAAGAAGAGGGGAGAGAGGTGGGTACACAACATGCCTACAGGTGAGCGGGTGCTTCCAGTTTGGATGGGAATGGGTGGGCTGGATGTCTGGCTGTGGCCAGTTGATGGTGGTTGGAGTGCTACAACCAAGCGGCATTCTTGGCATTCTTTACTAATGGGGCAGTTGCAAGTTATTCACGAGCCAGTAAGGGGGAGAACAGCCTACTGTGTGTGGAATAATAGTTGCGAGTAGCATTGGTGGTATTTATATATGTAGCTGCCACAACAGTCAGCAGAGTCAGTCCATATTATGAAAGCTCAGTTACAGGTAGGGAACCTTTTGTCCATTATGGCAACCAAACTCACCACATCAGGGATGTCTGCAGGGTTCATCTTGTCCAGATTAGCATCATTCAGATTTGCCTGAGACAGTCAAACCTACATACAAAAAAATACATGTGGATGTCCACACCGCTGCATTCTCCCTAGATAAGAGAATGCATAAACTGCAAAGACTGGTTGGGTTTATTGGCAGTGTAACTGTTGTCATAGTAGAAGGCTGCTGCTGTCTAAACAAATACAAGCAAACCTATTATAGCAAAATCATGAATTCACAAGAAGTCACCGCTGCACCTTAAGCTTATCACAAACTGTGATAGAGAGTAACACACTCACTAAAGAAGATGTTGACGTTCTTGCGGTAGATCATGTCTTCCTCCAGGTCCTCCAGGAACTCCTCGTAGTCCTCCTCCGCCCCCTTCTCATTGGTCGTCGCCACGGTAACATCCATCTCCCGGTCCATCATCTGCAGCTGCCAGTTCCTCTGTTTCGACCTCTTGACCTTGTCTCCGTAGCTCTTCTTCACCAGGACCTGGGGTGTGGGGATAATGGTGGAAATGCAAGGGATATGATAATAATTATGTATTAAATCTGGGCTCTTTCACAGCTAGCAACACATTATTGGCGAAAGAGCTACAAAGACAATAGAAAGGTATCAGCTGTATTTAGGGCAAGAAGAGGGGAGAGAGGTGGGTACACAACATGCCTACAGGTGAGCGGGTGCTTCCAGTTTGGATGGGAATGGGTGGGCTGGATGTCTGGCTGTGGCCAGTTGATGGTGGTTGGAGTGCTACAACCAAGCGGCATTCTTGGCATTCTTTACTAATTGGGGCAGTTGCAAGTTATTCACGAGCCAGTAAGGGGGAGAACAGCCTACTGTGTGTGGAATAATAGTTGCGAGTAGCATTGGTGGTATTTATATATGTAGCTGCCACAACAGTCAGCAGAGTCAGTCCATATTATGAAAGCTCAGTTACAGGTAGGGAACCTTTTGTCCAATTATGGCAACCAAACTCACCACATCAGGGATGTCTGCAGGGTTCATCTTGTCCAGATTAGCATCATTCAGATTTGCCTGAGACAAGTCAAACCTACATACAAAAAAATACATGTGGATGTCCACACCGCTGCATTCTCTCCTAGATAAGAGAATGCATAACTGCAAAGACTGGTTGGGTTTATTGGCAGTGTAACTGTTGTCATAGTAGAAGGCTGCTGCTGTCTAAACAAATACAAGCAAACCTATTATAGCAAAATCATGAATTCACAAGAAGTCACCGCTGCACCTTAAGCTTATCACAAACTGTGATAGAGAGTAACACACTCACTAAAGAAGATGTTGACGTTCTTGCGGTAGATCATGTCTTCCTCCAGGTCCTCCAGGAACTCCTCGTAGTCCTCCTCCGCCCCCTTCTCATTGGTCGTCGCCACGGTAACATCCATCTCCCGGTCAATCATCTGCAGCTGCCAGTTCCTCTGTTTTGACCTATTGACCTTGTCTCCGTAGCTCTTCTTCACCAGGACCTGGGGGGTGGGGGTAATGGTGGAAATCCAAGGGATAATAATATTATGTATTAAACCTGGGCTCTTTCACAGCTAGCAACACATTTTGGCGAAAGAGCTACAAAGGACAATAGAAAGGTGCTTGCCATTGGACTGGGCTGGATGTGCAGTGGACAGTTGCGAGGGTAGTGTGGTAACTTAAGCTGCATGCCTGATTAACCAAGCAGCTTGGTTAATTGTTTACTAATTGGCAGCCAGGCAGGGTACACTTAGCCACAACTTTGCCAAGGCAGGAAGTAGTATATATTCATTACATAGCTGCCACCTCCTTGTTGAGCAGAGTCATGAGGAGGCAGGAAGCCGTTCATGAGGAGGTGGTAGGGTAGTGAGCCTTTTGACAACAGAAACCCACCACATCAGGATGTCTGCAGGGTTCATCTTGTCCAGATTAGCATCATTCAGATTTGCCTGAGACAAGTCAAACCTACATACAACCAAACGATAGCAAATCTAACAACACACCTTTCTTGTTCTGTTGTGAGAGAGAGAGGATCACAGACGCTACACACTGAATAGTTTCCTGTGAATAATTGTGTGTGTGTCTATCTACATGTATCTTCTGAGGTATTATACATATCCAGTGCAAAGACCAGCGCTCTCTCTTTTCATTCCCGTAAAAATATTTCTAGTGCGGTAAAAAAAAGCCGCTATCCCTCTCTCCCTCACCCCCACATGCAGTCCCCGTCATGGAGGAGATGTCCGAGATGAGACCGACAGTGTATCTGTCTGTCGCTAGTCCCCAGTTCACTCACTGGCACCACCCACACATCACTCAGGACACACTGTGGAGGGGGGAGCAATCAGAGGGTATAAATCATAGACATTGGATTATGAGAAGGGGCAGGGTTAGGGATTTATCTTACTACTGGCATGAGATAATATAAAGCAAGCATAGCATATCATATATTCCTGTGGAGGAGGGGCAATCATAGAGGGTTCTTACATGTTTCATATAAATCATGGACAAAGGAATACGAGAAGGGTGCAGGGTTAGGGATAAGGGCAATGCGAAAAACATGAGGTAAGCTTGATTTGAATAGAGTACACATCTAAAAAATCAGGACACCTCACTGATCAGGGCACCTCACTAAGTAATATTATACGTGAAACTAAATACATCACCAAATTATTTCTAGCATTACATCATTCTTGTTCTATTGATGGTTTACACTTCAGTGGTTTTCATCACACACACACAAGACAAGCAAAATCAATACAACTGCGCAACACATAATATTAGGAATTCTTTAATTTTCACACCTCCTAATCCTACTACTGGCATGAGACAAATAATAGACATTGGACTATGAGAAGGGGGCAAGGCGAGATAGGAATAGAGTTACGCAGCTGCAATAGCTATACCTTGTCACTGTGATTGGCGGAGCTGTTGCCATGGGAACCAGGGGGTGTGGCCTTCTCGATGTGAAGGACGTAGAACTCGGTCAGTTGCCGATGGTTACAGAGACTAGAGAACGGAGTTCTCCAGTAGACACTGCTGGACAACTCGGCAACTGCAGTCAGTAAGACACATGCAGTGTTGGCAGTAGGCAACTTGGTAGATTTGCAAAAGAACACCAAAACCTGCTATAATTGCACACATTTGCAAGTAACTTATTTGAGCGTGCTGCACTCAAAAATAGACTACATTCTGAAACTACTTTTCAAAAGTCTTCTGGCAAGCAGGGGCCAATTAGCCCATTTAGCACTTCCTTGGAGGTTGCAACATTCTTCTCATGCATGAATGACACACACACACACACACGCGTTGGAAATGAGTCAATTGTCAATTTACTTTGTGATTGTATCTGCCTGTTTTCCATATAAGAGACACTGACTGTGAATATGTTTCCATGAATGATTTTGCTTGTCTTGTGTGTGTGTGATGAAAACCACTGAAGTGTAAACCATCAATAGAACAAGAATGATGTAATGCTAGAAATAATTTGGTGATGTATTTAGTTTCACGTATAATATTACTTAGTGAGGTGCCCTGATCAGTGAGGTGTCCTGATCAGTGAGGTGTCCTGATTTTTTAGATGTCCTGATTAGTGAGGTGTCCTGATTAGCGACCATTGTTTAGTGGGATTAAATTTCCGGAAAGTGTTTCAGAGTGTTTATCGCAGGGTGTGGCTAATTAACTCAGATTGCAGTTTAATTGGTGTCTGGGTTTTGTTTCCAGTCTTAGGCACACTATATACACTACCTATATAAACTCTATTGTGGTTTCCATGGGTAACACAGTGGGGTTGCCGTGGGTAACACAGTGTTTACTATTACTGCTGGTATTGTGTGGGGGATGGGCAATCACATGTCTAATCGACTGTACAGTATTGAGACCATGTGCCATTACCAACACAAGTATCACTTTGTATTGATCATGGAGGTCATATGTACCAGAGTCACCTCTTCTCTATACCTCATCGTGCCGGGAATGACTATATAGTGAACACATACCTTCCGGGCTCTGTGAGTTTGTGAGGTGTAGAGAAGAGGTGGTATATATGATCTCCATGACGTAATGGAATGCAATGGGACGGTGAATGTGCTTTTGTTGCCATTTGCAAAAAAAGGTATGCATGCAAAGGAATTGCTAGTCAATACAAATTACCGGAAACGTTTGGGGTCATGAGATGTATGGATAGTAAGGTTTTTGTAGGTCTTCCCTCCTATATTTGCTGAAACCCCAGTTCAGGCCACGGAAACTCTACCTTGCAGGGACTGTGGGTCAGTGAGGTGGAGAGAGGTGGTGACTCTGGTACATATGACCACCTGTGTCATGTGACCTAGAGAGCGAGCCAGTGAGAGAGGGAGCACACCACCTCGTTCTGGGAGGAGAGGAGGAAGGATGGAAGAATTATTATAATTATATGTGTCCCTAATGTTGTGCGATGCCATGGCCACATGCCAATTCCCTAAGGGATAAATTTGAAATGGTACCAAATGCAAGTGTAGACTTGTGCGTGTTGGATATACAAACCATGTGGTTCATCTCTATTTATGGCCGCAAAGGAATGCAAACACTCCAGTCAAAGAGAGCACACCCTGAAGTGATTCCTTGTATTAGACTACTTACCTTACAGACAGGCACCAGCTCCACGCTGAAGGTGTGCTTGTATTGGAATGTATTGCTGTGAATGTCATGTGACACGAGCTCCTGGGACGTCTTATACCTGAGAGCACAAACCAGAGAAAGTATGCATGCAACTTGGCATTGGTAATATAATATCCTCTCATCCTCTCCACAAGAGGGGTAACCCAATATTATCTCATCCTCTCCACCTAAGAGGAAGGATATTGGGAGGACCAGGTGGTGGGTATTGTAATCTGACCTGGTCTGTCTTCAGTTGTAACTGAGACAGCAACACAACACACAGTAATTTGAGACATTACACTTGGGACTTGTGCTGATTTTCATCAACACACAATGAGGTGAGGGAGGGAGGGTGGAGGGGGAGAGGAGAAAGAGGGAGGGACAAGGGAGAAAGAGAATCCACACTCACTTACCGACATGGAACCACAGTCTGCAGAAAGTCCACCAGTTTCCTTGCCTCTTGTTTCTGAGCAAAGAAGAAGTCGAGACCGTCACTCGTTTCTTTCACCTTGAGAGCCGACACGTGCACCCTGTGCTTCAGTATCAGCTGCTCCAGATAGAGGAACGTCTTCTTGTGAGATGTCTAGGGTCGAGGGGAGGGTGAGGTAATGAGGTAATGTTGTGTTTTAAAGTCCAATTTTCAAGCTCTAACAAAGACAAACAGCATAAGGATTCAGGCATTAATGGCACCAAAGCAGTTTTAATGGTTTTGCTTAGGGGCTGAGCCAATTTGGAACAAGTTAATAAACATATCACTTACCGCACTCTTGCGGTAATTGCCACACTCTTGCGGTAATGTACTTGGCTCTTTAGGAGCCAAATACTGGCAGAAACCCTACAGCTTCGTAATGCAGTTACCACGGAAACTAGTGGTCTGGAATGTTAATTCCATTATGACAGAGGATAATTATGGTCTACTTAATGTTAGGAGAAATACCTTTTGTCTGACTTGGACCGCTGCCCTCAAGAAATCCTGGGTCTGTCTGCGGTGACACTCGTGACACATCTGATGATGGACGCCATACTCCACTACAAACACCTGCTGGAGAATAGCCCCGCCCACTACCCGAGGGTCACGTGACAATCACAAGACATCGTCGTCATAGAAACACAGCCACACGCACCTCTTTTTGGATTGTGAGTTTGACTTTAACCGAGTCACGCGGTGGTTGGTTTAGAGCGGCCTCTGCGCTGCTAGGAGGAGATCGGGAAGGCGAGGTTCAGTAGAGAGCCGGAGAGACACGGAGGAGAACTGAAGAATGGCTCGCTACAACATCCGCGACTGCTGGATGGTGGAGGAGCTAAGGAACGAGAGAGAGGCCAGCCAGCTCGACATCGAGGAGATCACCAATTTCATCAGCGGGAACGAGGCTCTCACCGCCCGCCGCAGGGAAATCTGGTAGCTGCGAAGCCGCAACACTCAGTACAGTATAATTATGCACCTAAGAGCTTTGAAAAGTACTCTGTGCACATAGTATACGAAGTAGTATGCGGGAGTTTACTAATTTTATGGCCGTGCGCGCGCGCGCATAATATGCACGCTCACGTGACTCCCAACTGCAGATGAAAGGGTTCTGGGTGATCCGGAGTTTGCCCGAGACGACAGGTATTTCCACAGCAGAGAGGAGGCTTTTGACGAGGCAGCCCGTAAGGCAGTCCACAAGATCAAGCTGCTGAAGGAGATGGACATCGCCTCGCAGGCTGACAAGTACTACTTCAGAGGGTCAGTGGCATGAACACTGTATTTCAATGAGTTTCAATGAGTGCGTTCTGTAGATGTTTTATTGAGTTTGAGAATCAGTTTGTGTGAAATCTGTCAGTTTGTTAAGTATGCTACATTAACTCTATTAAAAGTGGGACATTTTTTGGAAGTTCAAGAGTTACATGATGTCGTGCAATTTTTATTGCCAGTGATGTAATGGTTTAACTTTCTCCCTCTTTTAACTTCAGAGCTATAGATGAAGAGCTCCCAACACATCTGAACGAGACTATGTTTATCCCTACCATTGAGGTATATTTATAGCTACCATGATTGTAACGCATTAGAATGGAGATTTTTGAAGCAATATGCGTTGCAGAAAATGTGTTTTCACTTTTAACAGTCACATAATCATTCAGAGGACTACTTGTACAAGTTAACCCTTTTCTCTCCACATAGTCTCAGGGTACGGAGGAGCAGAAGAAGAAATGGCTGGAGCCAGCCAGAGAATACAGAATCATGGGGGCCTATGCCCAGACTGAGCTAGGCCACGGTACAAGACATGCATTAAAGGGATTCTTTTGACTTACTATGTGTGTGTGTGTCTGTCTGCAGGTACGTATCTCCGTGGGTTGGAAACCACGGCAACCTACCACCCTGAGACGGAGGAATTTGTGATTCATTCTCCGACTCAGACCTCCATCAAATGGTGGCCTGGTGGACGTGAGTCCCTCCTTCTTTTCCTTTTGAAATTTCATCTCTTTTCATCTCCCTCTTCCTTTTTCCCCCTCTCCTTCCTCTGTTCACTGTAAGTAGGTAGGTATAATACCCACCCACTATAAATGGCTTGTCAAGTGTAATTCATAACAGCCACAAATATGTATTGGGTAACAGCTGATTACACAAGGTGCTATGAATATCATTTCCTGCACGTGTCTTTTCCCCAAAACAAAGGAAATTGGTAATGAGCACTACTCAAAGCATGAGTGTGCAATACTGTTAAATTTAGTTATATTTCTTCTCTCTTTAGTTGGACATTCAAGTACGCATGCAGTGGTGCCAGCTCGTCTCGTAACACTCGGAAAAGACTACGGAATGCATCTCTTTATTGTGCAGCTGCGAAGCCTCGAAGACCACACCCCCTTACCAGGTTCATCTTTTAACCCTTCACAAACACATTTTTCATTCGGAAAATTTTTCCGGGCAGGTATAAATGTAGGGCCAAAATTTGGATATTTTGAGATGGACAACGGGTATTTGCAGCTGGATAATGTACGATCCCTCGCGACCACATGCTCATGAAATATGCCCAGGTCAGTAAACTCTTGGATACTCAGTCTGTATATTCCAGTAATTTATTGTATTCTTCAGGTAGCTCCTGACGGGACGTATTCAAAACCTCAGACAGATAAAATCACCTATGGAACAATGGTTCACGTAAGTCAGTAATCTTAAGGATACTCTAGTAAACTCCAGCAATCTGTCAGTAAACTCTAGTAATCTCTCAGGTGCAGACATGCTTGGTTCTGTTCACGGCTCATGCTCTAGCAAGGGCCCTAGTAATCGCAGTGAGATACAGTGTAGTCAGAAGACAAGGAGAAATCGAACCTGGGTAAGCCTTTAACCCTTTCCCCACCATCCCATTGTAACATTAACCCTTTCAGAGCCGGGGAGGTACAGGTGATGGACTATCAGACGCAGCAGTTTAAGCTCCTCCCACTCCTGGCGTCGGCATATGCTCTGTCCTCCACTGGGGTTGCCATGATGATGATGTTTATCCAGGTCAGTAATCTCTCTGTAAACTGTCTGCTGTGTGGTCAAGACTAGTGGGCCAGAGAGATATGTCAGTAATGTGTCCATGGGAGTTCACACAGCGTGACCCCCAAATCTGGCACCGTACCATAACACAAGTAATCTCTCGTGATGTTTGTCCAGGTCAGGGGTCAAATCGAGGAAGGAAACCTAGATTCGTTGCCTGAGGTAAGGAATATCACAATTGAAAAAATGGGTGCTTGTTTTGTGAGCCACCTATGAATACATACCTGTTTACCCCATGTAATCAAAGGTGTGATAGTTACTTTTTAAATTGGTGGGTATTGTGCAGTGTCCTCTGCCTTAAACCAACTGATACTAGTAGTTTGTGATGTCTGCCTCTCTCCTCCACAGCTCCATGCTACCAGTGCAGGTCTCAAGGCCATTTCTGCCGAAATCTCCAACAACGGAATTGAGGTATACATCAGTAATTCTCAGTAAATATCTAGTATTCGCCATTACATGTTAGTAATCTACAAGTGTGTGTTAATCTACTGGTGCATAACTTGTAAACTCTGGTAATCTACAGATTGTTAGTAATCCGCAGGTGCATTGTTAGTAAATTCTAGTAATCTACAGGTGTGTCGGATGGCATGTGGTGGTCATGGTTACTCGCAGGCCAGCGGTTTACCAATACCTATGAGGGAGAAAACACCGTTCTATTCCTTCAGACTGCGAGGTTAGCAAACTGTTTATTAGTACACAGTGGCAATAGTTTGCATTCTTATGTTCATAAAGGAAAGGTTGTGAAGCATTATAGGAATGCTCATAGATTATTATATCCATAGCCTGACAGATTTCATTAGTGAATAAGTGCATAAACTGAGTGCTCAGGCCCATTATACTGAACATCTTCTCGTCTGCTGGCTTTATCTGGCAACTGTGCCTCAGTTCATATCTCAAAATGACATCGCACGATGGCAGACTCTTCTTCAAAGAGTGGAGTGTCGGCGGACTCCCCGAACCGACCTCAACGAACGTCATGAATCCTTCTTTCAAAATCTCGACTATGAACTCTTCCCAGCAGGCCAGAGCGTTGATGACCGCTCCCTTGACCAACACCATACCACTGCCATCCAAATAAAACTTGTCTCCTTTGACAAACTGCCTTGACTGTGCCGGGTCCAAATACTAGTGCCTTAATCTGACTGGTAAATTTCTTGTAGGCCTTGCAGAAAAGGTCTCTGGCAAAGTTCTTTTTCTGATGTATCTGCTCTTCCAAATACTTCAACTTGTCCATCCTTTCTCAATGTATCAACTGCTCTGTCCTTCTGCACGATTTCTAGTCTACCAAATCTGCTGCTAAGCCCACTGTCACTAGCATAAGCCGCTGGAGGCAGCAAAGACATTGGACGTGCAGGCTCTAGTCGCATTGGAGGTACAATGTAAGAATTGGTAGCTCCAGGATAGGTTCTTCTCCATTGAGTGACCAAATCCTCTTCATCCTGGTCTGACTCAGAGCTACTAGAATACTCTGAAGAATACTCTTCTAGTGGGAAATTTGATGCCATCATCATCTTTGAAGGCTTTGCAACTGAGCAACCCCGTGCTCTTTTATACTGAGATATTTGCAATTCATGGCATCCTGTATATTATATGAGGTCATCAATCACCTGACTATATACTTCCTAGAAGGGAATTACCAATGTAAGTCTCAACCTGTTACAATTCTGCACTGTCATACTCTTGTTACAGCTAGACAACAAAAGGGTGGGCAAATGAAATTTTTTTGCTATCTACTAGTAATGCCCAACTCTACTAGTAATGGCCCAACTGGGTACCTAGGCCTATGAATCCACTTCCTGTAGATGAGTATGTAGCATTTCTTAGGCCTACTCTATTGTAGCCCTACATTATTTGCCTCATTATCATGGAATTTCCTAACGACACTAAAGTGCAAACCCTCGCCGAACTACGCACACGGATACTGCCAATTGATGGGCTGGGCCGGCTATTTGTATGCGTTTACTCGTGGTCTTCCGCTAGTAGCCTGCGGAGAGTCAGACACGGGCTAGCTTGCTTTTCACGCCATAACTTTCGAACGCAGTATTTTTTAGGAAAATCGCCAGTTTTAAAATCAAGCCAGTGTAGTGCCGAACCTATTGGCATAGCTTATTGGCTGTCTCGTTGCGCCTGGTGGCAGAAAACGTGGTAACAGACACACAAACCAACTACTGTAACCCTCGCTGGGCATGTGCGCCAAGGATTAATGAGCTGTAGCCTTATTACGATTTCTCTATTCTCATCAGATACCTGAACAAGCTGTATTCCAGTGGCCAGCCAATGTCAGCCCTCCCTACCAACGTCTGTTACCTAGCAACAGATTACCCAGGCCACGCCTCCTGCGGGGTGCGGTCGGTGGACCAACTATCAGACCCTCATCTTCAGTTGGAGGCGTTCCGTCAGCGAGCCCGGAGGATGGTGGGCGTGGCTAGCTCCGCCTACCAACGGGCTCTGGGGCGTGGCCTCACACAGCCTCAGGCATGGAACTCCACCACAGTGGATTGGACTGTGGCCGCCAAGGTTTTTACCTTTTCAGTAACTTATTTCGTGTGACACATTTGACTGAAAAACGACAAAAAATTTGTGTGGTATGCAAACATTTTAATATTTTCACACACCTGACCTATAATTATATTCTCTATTGTTTTAGGCTCACTGTTACTACGTTGTTCTCAAGTCGTTCAATGATGCAATCGAGGCAAAGGGGCTGTCCCCAGTTAATGATGTCATAATGAGAAAGCTGTGTTCGCTGTATGCCATGTACTGGATGGTGCAGAGCAGTGGAGAGTTTATGACTGTGAGTTTTACTTTTACTTTTACTTTTACTGGAGATATTCTCTTTTTACTGCACCGACTCCGACTACTAACACAATGTGAAGTGGCCTACCATGTTCATTGTTTAGAGTGTGGGCCTCCTTGTTTGTTTATGTGAGATCACTTCTACTGCATTCGCAAACTTGTTTCCTTACTAGTGGCATTTCAAATATCTCCCCCAGATCACGGCTCATGGGGTCAGAGACACCATGACTTATGAATAATCTTAATTATGCTCAATGTACACCTTGTGCGAGGAATGAATATAGTCTCATTAGCTGTGCAGTGTACTGCATCCTAACGAAACAGTGTACTGAATCTAACTAAACAACATGTCACACTTACTTGAGCATCTCACTTGTAACAATGCCGAGGGTTAAAAATCAGCTATATGCTGATATTGTTCTGTCTGGTGGTGTTTGACATTACAGGATGGCCACATGACTCCCTACCACATCTCGCTGGCCCGCTCTCTCCTCTACTCCCTGTTAGCGGAGGTCAGGAAAGAAGCAGTTCCGCTAGTTGATGCCTTCGACGTCCCTGACGATATACTGAACTCCGCCCTCGGTCGCTATGACGGCGATGTGTACACTCACCTCTACCAGTGGGCCCAGAGAGCTCCTCGCAACAAGAAGAAGGTCAGGACTGGTGTGGCTTTGACTGAGTAATAATTACAGTTTCTTTCTTTACTCAGGTCCATGATGTGTACCACAAGTACTTCAAGAAACTGCTAAAGCCTAAATTATGAAAATCCTTTGTATTGGCCACGCCTCAAACATAACAAAAGCATGAATAATACTACCTACGCAGCAAGCTAATTCGGAAGTGTCATGAATAACAACACGGTGCGGGGACGTGCGGTTGTGAGTACACAAGAGAGGAGTCGATGGCTCGCACCGTTTATACAGCCCCAGTTACAGCCCTAAGTATATACCAATTATGTGATTTAAGCCCATTTCTTGGGTACATGCTCTTTGTGACGATACTAATCAGACTGATGTGTCAAAAGTTGGATCTGATTGAAATAGAAAGTGAAACATGAAAATCTCAAATGTATGGGCATCAGTCTGATTGAGTATCGTCACAAAGAGCAGTACCCAAGAAAACTGGCTTCAATCACATAATGCAGGACAACCTGTGTCATCTATATTGGCGATCGGAAGCGAGCTAACCTAGTGGTCCGACGGCGCGATTTTTCTATATAATATATATATAATATGTGCCCGTACGTACGTCCAACTGCGCATGCTCACCGCTATTACGTACGCTTCTCTTTATCCGAACGAAAGGATTCACACCCATTTCATAATGCTGCTGAATCGAGCGGAAGCAGGGGAGGAAAACGCAACGTCCTCCGAAGCTAATCGAGTATGCGGCACAGTCGCTCCAGCGAGAGATTTTCTACTTACATGCCACTTGTTCCCGATTCCTGCAAGACCAATCAGATGCCGCGGATTATGCTGATCGCGCTGTCGCCTGACTGGTTTTTGACTCGACTCGAATGTCTACTGCGCTCGGTCAAGTTTCGCGGCCTACTTGGTCATCGTGCGAATGTCTCTCATTTGTTTTGTGTGCACACACACCAGAGTGACTCATCGATTAGACCTCCCAAACTTGTAAGCGCGGAGCAGCAAGCGCGGCTTCCGCTCGCCAAACAATGCCATGCATTCGCCTACATCTGGCGTCACGGGTCGCTCGCCGTCGAGCTAGAGAATGACCAAGCAGATATGACATAATGTCGGCATCATGCAATGGTGCGTGCGCGGCACTGCGTCACATCTTCCCGCGTCACCATCTTCCGCGTAATACTGCGGCCAGATCATGCGTCAGATAGTAAATATACACAGACTCACACCTTGAGAGCAAAATGAGCGCGGCACTGCGACTGCTAACAACAACAAAACAACACCCGTGCCGTAAGACGGTCTAAACCATTCATGCGTGCTGCAGCGAGCGCTCTGCGTCACGCTGGAGCTGTGGCTGGCGACAGATGTCCAGACGACGGGGGCAAGACTGCACACGGAGACTGCGGCCGAGCGCTCCGTCCGTCATGGTCAGTATTAGCCACACACTCGGTGCTCGCCATGCTCGGAGAGCATAGCAGTTTGCATGCACGCGTATAGCTATACAATAATTCACTGCTGCTGCAGGTAGTCGTCGTAAGGCAGAGCGAGCCGCTGACGCTCGAATCTGCAGTGACCGCAGTGTCTGCAAGCGGGAGGTGCGGATAGGCTCGGAGACGGCGAGAATAGGAGTTAAGGCAAGAGGAAGGGGGGAATGTTTGTGACTTACCATGTATTCCGTGTTTCTTTTTCGCATATTTTTTTTATGTTTTTTTATTTTTGTTTTCCCGCCTCCCATATTTCCCCGTTTCGCTTCATCTGTAACCTCTCAACTTTCATTAACACCCCGTTTTATCCTCCCACCTTCTTACTCGCCCCCCCTTTCCATTCCCTCTCCTCCACCTCTCCCCTCTCTTCCCCCCCCCAACTCACATTCACCCAAAATCCCCGAGCTGGGTGAGCTACAATAAAAATGGGAAGATGTTTTGTAAACTGCATACATCACTGCAGGTGAGCGGCAGAGTAGCGAGGAATGTGTTAATGAAGACAGTGGATGGCTGTGGTTCCAGCTAGATGAGGCGACTGGAGCTCTGTCAAGCCACTGGTACTGGATTTCACTCATCTCATCTCTGCGGACGAATTGTTTCATGCCTTTGCTGTGACCTTGGTGTTGACACATGCATGCACAAAACTGCTATAACTTAGTAATTAGCTATATATAATTATGATGTGTTGAGTGTGGATGTGTTTTTATATATATATAACATCCATGTCGTTACATGAAATACTGCACGAGATGTTTGTAAGCAGTTAAAAATCACACTCATGCATATATATACTCTCACAAAAATGGAGATCGAGGAAATTAATTAGTCTCTCCTGTCATCTAATGGTCATTTCGCAGCATTCTCGCAGCATTGCTGCAGCATTTCCTCAGAACTACTCTTGGAACATCTTCACTGAACCATCACGTCCCCCACTGCCACCGTCGGGAGTCCTGGATCAAATGAGTGCAGTGGTTGGATGACATGAATAATTTTCAGTCTGAAATTTCTTCATGGATCCAACCAGGCAATAAATCAAAATTCCCCTTCTCATGGTCGTCGCCACGGGTAAGGGAACATCCATCTCCGCGTACATCATCTGCAGCTGCCAAAAAAGTCCTCTGTTCGACCTCTTGACCTTGTCCGTTGTCTCCGTAGCTCTTCTTCACCAGGAACTGATGCTGTGGGGATAATGGGAAATGCAAGGGATATGATATAATATGTATTAAATCTGGGCTCTTTCACAGCTAGCAACACGTTATGGCGACAAAAGAGCTACAAGGACGATAGAGAAACGGTACACAGCTGGATTTAGGGCACAGAAGAGGGGAGAGAGCAGGTGGGTACACCAACATGCTACAGCGTGAGCGGGTTGCTTCCAATTGGATGGGAATGGGTGCTGCGTGGTGGACAGTTGATGGTGTTAGACTTACCCCCAATCGGCATCTTGGCATCTTACTAATTGGGGCAGTTGCAAGTTATTCACGAGCAGTAAGGGGAGAAAGAACAGCCTACTCGTGTGTGGACATAATGAGTTGGAGTATAGACTCACCCCAACTAAACGGTGGCAGCACGCGGATGCTACACACTGAATAGTTTCCTGTGTGTGAATAATTGTGTGTGTGTCTATCTACACGTATCTCTGAGGTATCTATACATATCCAGTGCACAAAGCACCAGCGCTCTCTGTCTGCAGTCCCCCTCATCAGCAGTAGAACGGTTCTTCCTCTTACTTCTATGGACTACATGGCAAAGGCTCCTGAATTACTGCCATTGGATGACGACCACTTCACGTTGGTTGAGCTCTACTGGGCATTACACCCCAGTGCAAACACTAGAACTCCTTCTTCGTCCCGTAAAATATTCTAGTGCGGTATTTTATATTTTTTAAAAAAAAAAGCACGCTAATCCCTCTATGTGTCCCTCACCCCCAACGCAGTCCCCTCAGGAGGAGATGGTCCGAGATGAGGGACCGCAGACAAGTGGATCTGTCTGGCTTAGTCCCAGCCTCACTCACTGGCCACCACCCACCATCACCTCAGGACACAATTGTGGAGGGAAGAAGCAATATCGACTGGGCAAGACAATATTAGGAATTCTTTAATTTTTCAACAATGACGAAGGCACAGCAGGCCCAATTTTTAAAAACTCTACCTTGCGCTGTGGTCTGCAGAGATGTTGACATGGGAACCAGAAGGTGTGGCTTCTCATGTGAAGCGACGTAGAGAACTCGTCAGTGGACGATGGTTACAGAGACTAGAGAAAGGAGTTCCTCCAGTAGACACTGCTGGACAACTCCGCCACGGAGGGAGCGAGGGACAGTGCAGTTTGACAGTAGGCAACCTGCACCGAAACCTTCTGTATATTTATGATTCATTGTGTGTAGTTGGTTGGTCATTTCACAATAACTCAATCAATGAAATACTGGATTTGGCATAATTTGAGGAGTCTGCACTCAGCGTGTAGAGTTCCTTGGAAGTTGCTAGGTGCATTATGTATAAACATGGTAATTCACAGGCGTAACAAACGAGAAATGTGCAGGCAAATCTGTCACTTACCAACACAAGATATTTTGTACTAATTGTCATTTTGGCTGATACGCGTACCTCTACGTATACTTTTGGATTTGGATTTCTCCTGCATTCTTTAATATTGTCAGTTTGGCCCTCTGAGGGCACTGATTTATCAGCCAAAATGACAATTTATTATGATGATTACCTTACAGATGGGCACCAGCTCAACTCTGATGTCAAGAGGAGGGGGAATAATTATTATAATTATATGTGTCCCTAATGCTGTGTGATGCCATGGCCACATGCCAATTCCCCAGGGGGAAAAGAAAATGCATGAGAAATCCAAATCCAAAAGTATAGTAGAGGGTACGACTTATCAGCCAAAATGACAATTGTTATGATGACTATATACCTTACAGACGGGCACCAGCTCCACGCTGAAGGTGTGCTTGTATTGGAATGTATTGCTGTGAATGTCTATGTGACACGAGCTCCTGGGCACGTCTTATACTGAGGTCACAAACCAGGAAGTACCATGCAACTTGTTTGGTTCGTGCATTGGTAATAGAATATCTTCTCCCTGTGTAATGAACACTCTAGAAGGTTGAGGGTACTGTAATTTGACTTGGCTCTACTCGTACTAAGTATCCTTAATTCGACCACAAAAAAAAAATTGCGGAATCTGGTCTGGTATTCAGTTGTAACTGAGAACCAAACTTTAGGGCATCTACATTTGGGGCTTGTGCCTCAACACACAATGAGGGTGAGGGAGGGGGAGGGAATAATTTAGGCATTACATTGAGGCACGTGTAGAGCCACACAGAAAACATCGATTTCCAGTCATGATATCACACTATCCTTTCTCAGCCAGATATCCGCGCAGGAACTAGCCTAGAGCGTACCGTTCTTTTCTCACACATACTACGGTTTACTGTAATATGACAATAGTAACTAGAAATAGAGCATACCGTAAAAAAGCTACGTGCTGCCGCGCTCCTAAGTACAGACTGTTCCCACTTCTCCGTAGAACGCAATGACCAAGCCCGAACGAAGGGGACTCCGGAGTGACCTTCGTTCAATTTAAAACTAATGCAGTCCTCCTGCAGTTAGTACAACTTGGACCAGGTGTAATGTTTTCCAGCACATGCTGAATTCCATATAAGAAAAGCAAAGTGTTGACTAGGGTGAGTGATCAGCCCTCTGACTGTTGGTGTATAGGTATTGTATTACAGCTAAGTGGGTGACGTTCTGTATCTTACCAATGTCTGCAGTTGTACTGAGACCACAACCCACTAATTTGAGGCATCTACATTTGGGCTGAATGCATCAAACACACAATGAGGCTGGCGGGGGGGGGTTCCCAGAGGTGAAGAGGAGAAAGAGCATACCGCACTCACTCACCGAAATGGAACACAGTCGCCAGAAGAAAGTCCAACCAGTTCCTTGACTCTTGTTTCCGGAAGCAAAGTAGAATCGAGACCGTCGATAGGTTCTTTACTTGAGAGGCAGAAACATGCACCCTGTGCTTCAGTATCAGCTGCTCAAATAGATTAGAGAACGTCTTATTGTGAGACTTCTAGGGTGGGGCCGGAGGGTGAGGGTAATGAGGTAATGGGTGTTTCAAAGTTCATTTACTAGCTCTACTGAAGACAAACAGTGTAAGGATTTAAGGCATTAAATGGCACCAAAAGCGTTGTTAACGGTGTTGCTTAGGGGCTGAGCCAATTTGGACCAAAGGTTGACACATCAATTACCGCACTGTCTCTCGCAGTAATGTACTTGGCTCTTTCGGAGCCAAATAGTTGGCCATGGAAACCTAAGCAGTTAGGGTTTGTAATACAGTTACAGGAAACTAGTGGTCCTGGAATGTTATTCGCATTCAAGACAGAGGATACTGTATGGTAACTTGATGTTTAGGGGAAAACCGCCCCACCTCTGTCTGACTTGGCCTGCTGCCTGCCCAGAATCCTGGGCCTGCCTGCGTTGATTGGACACTCGTGACACATCTGATGATGGACGACATACTCACCACAGAACACCTGCTGGAGCAATAGCCCCGCCCACTACCTGAGGGTCACGTGACAATCACATGACGTCGTCGTCATAGAAACACAGCAACACGCACCTCTTTTTGGATTGTGAGTTTGACTTTAACCCTCTTGGAGTGTGGTTCGGTCCAGACGAAGCCGGCGTCGACCAAATGGATCTTGGAGAGTCCTTTCAGCCTCTTGAGGCAGACGGCTAGTAGTTCGCGTGACTCGAGGGTACAGGACACCCAGCTGGCTGGGGGCTGGAGGTACCTGATGAGAGAGAGAGAAGAAAGTTTAGTTGAACACCCTCGTGCAAGAAGAGAGGTAACATTTCTAGAGTAGAGTTATGCACAAGGACAGCACGAATCAAGTTTCTTTGTTTACAAACATGTTATGCATAAGGTAGGCCTGGGCGGATTATTCCGGAATAATTTTGGGAATAATAGGCAGTGCAGATGAGCGAGAATAATCGGAATAATAGGCTGCTTTTTAGTTGCGGCGGCGGGCAGGCATGACGTGTTGTCTGCATGGGGGCTAAGATGACCGATTACTGTGGAGGTGAGAAAAAGCTGCAGAGTAAGCACATTGAGGCTGAGCCTGAGATTGGCACCGGCTAGAAAGATGGCAGAGTTCTCCCACAAGTGTTCTCCGAGCACGCAGTATAGTTAGAACACTTTGACAATTACACATCATAAAATCGATATAAATCGTGAGAATATAATAGGGAGAATTGGTGTGGGAATAATAGGAGCTTTCATATGGAATTGAGGAAAGAAAATAGGGGAAACACACAAGGATAATCCGCAACAGGCCTACGCACTATGGTAATTCCTACAAATAATTATTGTAGGAATTACCATAGTGCAGCACGCATTAAAGTTATTCATCGCTGGCATGCCAGACTATATATATATGAGTAAAGCTTTAATTACATGGAGAGTGGTATCTTCAGAACTGCTGTGCCATGATGTAATGTAATGTTGACTATTACATACTTGAGCCAAAGGGGTCTGTCCCAGGACCAACGATGTCATAATGCAGAAAACTGTGTTCGCTGTATATGCATGTACTGGATGGTGCAGAGCAAGGTGGAGAGTTATGAACTGGAGTTTTACTTTACTTTACTTTTGCTGGAGATATCTCTCTTTACTGCACAAACCAATGCCTTTATTAGTCATGATATCCAAGATACACGGGTGAGATCAACTGTGTGAGCAGTACCCAAAAACTATGTGTGTGTGTGCGTGCCTGCATGGGTGTGTGGAGTTGTGATTATTCATGACTCCCACTCACACACACATTATTTTCGGGTCTGCTCACAACAGTTTATGCACTTTAGGAGGTAAATGGATACTCACGGTTTTATGAAGCGATTTTAAAAAGCAGAACGCAACAGTTACAGCTGTGGTGATTACTATACTATCTTGTGAGTTGATAGCAGCTACAAACTACACGTGGCACTACCTTACTGCACATGCGTACGTAGCTTATGCCAGCCACTCAGTCGTGGGAACTGTGCAAATATGAATCAGTGTGTTTGTTTTATCTGAGGCTCAACACCTATAGGGTCATGGATCGGCATTGGCGAATTATTCATAGACTAATTTGCCCAATTGCGGAGCTGGATGTTGATATTGTCGGTATGGTGTGTTTGCCATTGCAGGATGTGCTATATGAATCCCCTACCATATCTGCGCTGGCCCGCTCTCCCTCTGACTCCCTGTTAGCTTCGAGGTCCAGGCAAAGAGGCAGTTCCGCTAGTCGACGCCTTTTGACGTCCCAGACGAGATACTAAACTCGCCCTCGGTCGCTATGACGGCGATGTGTACACTCACCTTACCAGTGGGCCCAGAGAGCTCCTCGCAACAAGAAGAAGGTCAGACTGGTGTGCTTTGACTGAGTAATAATTACAGCTTCTTTCTACACTCAGGTCCATGATGTGTACCACAAGTACTTCAAGAAACTGCTAAAGCCTAAATTATGAAAATCCTTTGCATTGGACACCTTGACAAAAATAATAATACTATATACACACGCAGCAAGCTACATAAGGAAATGTCATAAGGAGGAAGTGTCATACGGAAGTGTAACTCACGCGGCGGACCGGAAGTTCGCTGCGCGGCGGCGCGCGTGCGCGTTCGACGCGAGCGAGTATAACGGTGCGAGCCCCCAATCGAGTCTTTTATATATACTATACTGCGACGCGAGTATAAAAAGACTGATTGGGCTCGCACCGTTTATACGGCCCCAGCTAGTTACAGCTACACAGGACCCCAAAGAGAAAAACAAGCGAGCCACTGCGACTACTCCACCGTGCCGTAGGACTTATCACTGGTGCTTCAGCGAGCGCTGCGCACGCAGGAGCTGTGGCTGGCGCAGATGTCAAGACGACGGGGGCAAGAACTGCACACGGAGACTGCGGCCGGAGGCGCTCCGTCCGTCATGGTCAGTATTAGCTACACACTACCGATGCTCGCTGAGCTCAGAGAGCTCTAGCAGTCTGCATGCACGCGTAGCTATACAACAATTCACTGCTTTTGCAGGTAGTCGTAAGGCAGAGCGAGCCGCTGAAGCTGGAATCTTGTAGCGACCGCAGTGTCTGCAACGCGGGAGGTGTGGATGGGCTCGGAGACGGCGAGAACTGGGAAGGACAGGACTTTTTGCAGAACCCCGAGCTGGTGAGCTCCAAATTTTGCTTCTGCACAGGAATAAAAAAGATGTTTGTAAACTTGCATACAATCACTGCAGGTGAGCTGCAGTAGCGAGGAATGTGATAAAGACAGTGGATGGCTGGTGGTTCCAGCTAGAGAAGAGACTGGAGCTCTGTCAAGCCAACTGGTTACTGGATTTCACTTCACCTCATCTCTGCCGGACTGAACTTTACATTCACAGAGACTTTGTGTCGTTTGCCTTTGCTTTGTTTTGACCTTGTTGTTCTGACCTTGTTGTTCTGACACATGCATGCATGCAGTTGATTGTTTGCCTTCGCCTTGCTACCTCACTTTGTTGACAAATGCACAAAATATTGTATCACATCATTTAGCTACGATGTTTGTGTGTGATTATGTTTTTATACATCCCACGTTGTTATATAAAACACTGCACAGAATACACATGTAAGCAGTTAAAGATCACGCTCTATGGACTTGCTTGTATATAAAATGGATTTTTCAACTGAATCGAGGAAATTAGGTATTATATTAGTCTCTCCTGTCATTAATGGTCATTTCCTGCAGCATTTCCTCTAATCCTACTCTTGGAACATCTTCACTGACATCACTGTCCCCCCTGCCACTGTCTGGAGTCCTGGATCTACAGGATAACAGAAAAATGGTTGCAGCATGCTGAGATTCAATGCTGACCAAACTGTCTTGGTGGGTAACACATTTATACAACACATACATTCCATTATATATGTTGTCTGACCCATGAATATGTGACCGTATCTGGGAAAAGGTACCACCCGGCGCAAAATTCGAAATTGCGTTAGCGGCACCACGTGAAAGTGCGTAACGTAAGCTATACTCTGATGCAACCCCCGCTTTCGTAGCGCATTCCTGTGGCGTGTTTCTTTTTTTTACAGATCAGCTGGTGGTGGAAACGATAAATATAAGCGGAAGCGTCATAGCCCTGTCAACCAGTAATTTCAAGATAACGCGCGTTGAAATTGAGCGCCCGGTTGGGAAACAAATCTCCGCATACTACAGCGCGTAATAATTACGTCATTCGTAAAACCAGGCGGGTCGTGTCATTCGCGGATCTGGATGTGTATATGGACATCGGGCAGTCTTCTAGGATTATTGGGGCAAGGATAGAGCTATACTAGAAGGCATAGTCTCAGGGTTTCCTTGGTAACCCGTTTGTCATGTGCCGTTAGTAATCGCGCTCCGTACATTTCATCTGTACGCGTGTCCGCGCACGCCGTCATGGAGTCGAACCTCGCGTCTTTGCCGGGTCGCTGTGTGCGAAAGGAACGGCGGATTTCCACCGCTCCTGCACGAAAAGGTAGGGGAAAGGCTCTAGTTTTTCATGGTATGAAAAATCCAATATGTCACGAACGCAGGCCCAGATGCAGCTTATTACCCACGCGTATCTGAATTTAGATTTGCGCGCTAAGTTCGGTACCTTTTCCAGAGCGGGTCATATAGTCTTGACCATGAAATATATCTTGACATGGTGTTTTGACCCATGAATGATGAAACAGTCTTAGACACCATGCATATATTTTCTAACCAATCTTGCACTCACACATAGACTCATAAGCGTTTATATAATACTAGCGTAAAGTATTACATGTATTCTGCCTATTCAGCATATGCTGCACATCCAAAGGGTTAAAGAAAAATTTGGGCAGAGACAAACACACCACTGAAGAGATGTTGACGTTCTTGCGGGAGATCCTGTCTTCTCCAGGTCCTACACAGGACAACTCCTCGTAGGTCTCCTACGCACCACCTTATCATTGGTCGTCGCACGGTAGAAATCCATCTCCCGTCAATCATTGCAGCTGCCCAGTTCCTCTGTTTCGACCTCTGACCTTGTCTCGTTTAGCTCTTCTTCCCCGACCTGGGGTGTGGGGATAATGGGTGGACTCCAAGTGTCTTAATTGGGCTCTTTCACAGCACTGAGGCAGCGAACCAATTTGTTTGCGCGACGACCAGGGGCCGCGAACCAC